GGTGTATTTCCTAACCACATACATTTACAAAAACTACATTCAGTTTCTAACGTAACTGCCAAATTTCCTTAAAACCTTAGAGTAAATGTAAGAAATATAGCACTTTGAACTATACGCACTGACTTCCGACTCATACGGCGCGGCGGCCCCAGGACGGGTACAGAGTCCGTGGCGGTACGACTAGGATAAAAAGAGTTACGAAATGGAAAGGCCTGGAACTCAAAGACACTCTCCGGAAAGCTGAAGACCGGAAGGAGTGGAGGAAGCTGGTGGCCAAATCTTCAAAAGCGCCCCGACGTACATCCAGTCAACGGGATAGGTGGGGAAGGTGAATGCACCTTTTGCATGAATCAAAACGTTGTTCCGCGAACTGACCTTAACAAGTCTGTGGTCATTTCGTCTGTTTTGTTTCTGGAGAAATTTGATAACCTTTTATAGTGCGGTCAAAAATTCGTGGCGCAACTTTTTTGTTAAATATTTCCTAAACTATTGAACGTAGATTCTCCAGCTTTCATTTTGCACAATGACGGGCATCAATTTGTCGTAACATACCAATGTTTTTTTAAACACATGTTAGCTGTATTCTAGAAGAGAGTTTCTTAAAAATTAATACTAATAAAAAATCCTAGTGGGTGTTTTCTACAGATTTTAAAATGTTTACAACTGGGGCAATATCGCTTTTAAAAGCAAATCCGTCATTTGTTGTTCTTCTAATTGTGACACTATCTTTATTGAACGCCTGTTTTGAGAACATTTAGTGTAAAAAGTGAGTTCATTATAAAAGAATTTCTTATTACAAGTTTTGGCACTAAAAATTGCTATAGGTGAGCTGTGACGTATAAGCAAAATGTGTGTGAGAAGCGGGACGTGCTGTGGACAACCCCATTTTCCGCGTGACGGAGATTTATCGAGTTTTAGATAAATTTATGAAGAAAAGTCTTTTTTTTTAATAGCCTCAGCTGCCGTGGAAAAATTAAATTGAATTAAGGCAAATTGATGCAAATTCTGTGCAAAGTATGGATGACATTTATTCACCCATTAAAGAGATATAATTTAAGGATACATTGCGCCACGAATGTTTTACCTCGCTTTTGACATCCGTGTGTCTACAAGACGTAGTTCCTTTCGAATAGTAGAAAAAACAGAACTTAGCAGTCTAATATTTTTAAACACTGTAATTGTAAGTTTTATTCGTGAATCTTTTTGTTTTTCTCCTTTGCTTTATTTTTTAATTAATTTTTTTTTAGCAAAACACACCATTGAAACAAATAAAAGAATTTGACTAGATTCTACCTTGGAATTTATAAGTGGGCGTTGAATCGAGCATGAAATGCTCCGAGGGACAACAAATCAGGTGGTTTGGACATGTTGTGAGAATAAGGCCACAACAGCCAGCCTC